GTGGAAAAATTGAGATTGTTCACAGCTTTAGTTTGCTTGGCTCCACAGTCAACACTCTTGGCACCAGTAGCCAGGAAATTAAAAGACGTATTGCCATGGGAAAGTCTGCTGTTAAAGACCTTTCCAAAGTTGTGAAGAGCAGTGGTGTCTCTCTGGAGACTAAGGTGCATCTGATACAGGTCGTGGTCTTTGCAACCACTTGTTAATGCATCAGAGAGTTGGATAATGACTAGGGAGGATAGAAGGAGAATTGATGCCTTTGAGCTGTGGTGCTGGAGAATAGTATTGAGGGTACCATGGACTGCTAGGAAAACAAACAGATTCTTCCTGGAGAGGGTTAAACCAGGCTGCTCTTTGGAGACAAGGATTCTGAGGCTTTCTCTAACATACTTTGGACATATTGTAAGGAAGGATGGGTTCTTGGAGAGGGACCTCATGCTGGGGAGGGTGGCGGGACAGCACAGGAGTGGAAGGTCCTCTATGAGGTGGATTGATTCAGTGACTGGGGTAATCAGGATGGCTGTGTCAGAGACAGTGCAATTGGCACAGGACAGAGCAGAGTTTGGGGCTGTTGTACATAGGTTCGCTATGAGTCGCAAGCAACTCGACAGCACATAACAACAACAACATACTTCGGGCATGTTTTGAGAAAGGGCCAATCCTTGGAAAAGCACATCATGCTGGGATGGTCAGAGGGAAGAACCTGAACGAGTTGGCACGGTGCATCTAACAGTGTGTTTGGGAGATTGTGAGGTGGCACAGGAGAGGTCACGGGTTAGATCTCCCATTGAGTTATAGTTGACTTGATGGCACATAACTACAGCAACCTATTTGCAGCAGATTGCCACAGCTGTCCTCCACAGGGCCTCTGAGTGGGTTCAGATCACCATCCTTTCATTTGTTCACATAACCAAACCCAATAAAACCCACTGCCATGGAGTGAGTTTCTGCTCCTAACGGTCCCCCATGGGGTTTCCGAAGCTCTAAGACTTCGTAGGTGGAAACTACCCATCTTTCTCCACAGAGCATCTGGTAGAGTCAACCACTTACTTTTTGGTTGGTCTCAAAACTCAGTGCATTTTAGACACCAGACCTTCGTAATTATCCTCTCATTCTCATTGTCGCAGATTCAGAAATAACTTATGGCTGACTGCCAGCAAGTTTTCAGAGGCTATAAACCACCTGGGAGGAGATGGCTCATCTTTCTCCCTCAGAGCCTGTGGTGGATTTGAACCTCCAGGGTGATGCCACCTTTGGGTTAGCAGTGCGGCTCCCTACTCAGTAGGCCACTAGAGCTCCCTTGGAATTGTTTCCCAGGAAGCTCTAGATTCATGGTTTTGGTAATACTTACCATTTTGTAATTATTTATTAGTCACTTCATGTAGACGAATAGAAGCAGAGGCTAGATTTTGTTTCCTTACTATTACCCAGCATTCCTTGATGAAGTGTTACTGGCAAGAAATAAAAGACATGATGAATGCAAAGCAGTTACAAAAAAATAAATACTTTTTAAGAGCAGTTCTCACCCTCTGAATGTTCAGTGGGAAACCTGGCACTTCTTCATTTCCTCTCCCTAGTGAAGGACTAGAGAGAGATGGGTCCGTCTTCCAGTGTTCTCTGTGAGGACTATGAAAATCTAGTCTTCAGTCAAGCAAAATAGAAAGATGAAGATTGTAGTCTGTGCCTACACCTTGTTCTAGGATGGGAATAACAGGCTGTAGACAGTGTGATTTAAATTAGGATTAAATCCTGTGATTAATATGCTTTTGGCTGTTTTGGGGGTTTGGTTGTTTTATTTCCTTTTCTTTCTCAGTCATAAACTGCCTGTTGAGTACATACTTGGTGTTTTACCTTTTTCCCCATCAACAATATCACCTTGTCTTTGAGACCTTCTTGCCGAAAACAAGACCATTGGTTGACCGATGATTGATCTTTTCTATTTAGGTGCAGTTCCAGTTTGTTCTGCTCACTGACACCCTGTACTCCCCTTTGCCTCCGGAGTTACTTCCCACGGAGATGGAGAAAACTCACGAAGACAGACCTTTCCCTCGGACGGTGGTTGCGGTAGAAGTCCAGGATCTGAAAAATGGAGCAACACATTATTGGTCTCTGGAGAAACTCAAGTATGAGAATATTATTTACCTTTACTAATGAAGTGCCCCAATGAGTATTCTCAAACTTTGCTCTCGGAAGTCCATGTTGCTTCCTCTTCCATGCTTTCTAAAAACTTGTCTCTAGCTGGTTGATATTTCCATTCATCCATTTTCTTTTAAATTTATAAGTGTTCCCATTTCATGATATCCATTTAAGTCCTGGATCTAGCCGTTAATCATCTTTTCTGACTGTGACCTCATGGTGACCAGTAATGAATAGGAAGGTTACACTCTAGCCTCCTTTCCATATAGTAAGATGATTTTTTTTTTCCTGTTTCAAAATATTTGTGAGGTAATGTACCATTAGACTACATTTCTCTTATTTACAAGAGGTTAGGTGGCTTTTCTTGATTTCTGGTGACTGGTCTCTCAACTCAGACATTTTAGATGCTCAATCCTTTGTTCTCTGAACTTTGCGCCTTTGTTCTTCAATAACATTAAATGTTGGGACCACGATTTTTAGTCTTGCATGGAAGATGCTTCCAAAGCAAAATTTTACTACAATCTCATGATACTTATCTATTGCTTTATGTTCCTATAGGCAGAGGCTGGATTTGATGCGAGAGATGTATGACAGGGCAGGGGAGATGGCCTCCGATGCCCAAGACGAGAGTGAAACCACCATGACAGGCAGTGATCCATTTTATGATCGGTTCCATTGGTTCAAACTTGTAGGAAGGTATGTGGTGATTTTCTCAATGGCTTTTTTTTTTCATTCATGATTAGTTAAATTTTAGTTGTTTATAACCTCAGCAAACATGATAGTGTCTCCTTTTTTTTATAAAGGAAATCTAAAAAGTCCCCCACCTATAATTTTAACCACTGTTACTGTTCAATATATTTTTCCTTCAGTTTTATTCAACTTACATAGTTGTTTATAGTATCCAGTTTTCACCCAAAGTACTTCTTGCTTCCCAACTCATTCGTGACCTGTATAGGAAAAAGTATAGGAAAATGGAAGTCTGAATCCTGTGCAGTTTAAAACCATCGTTTGACTTCTCAGACTGCACTCTGTCCATGATCTGATTGGCCTCCCCTGACTCATTTTTTGGCAGTTCATCTCACTTTAGTCTTTGCCAAGGAGAAGTTAATGATACACTTTGATAGTACTTGGACCTCTTTTACATATACATAAAAGTATTTTCAATGTTCAGTGAAAACAAGGATTACCTTTGTGAGTCTTTATTGTTCCAGGTTCTTAGAGATTTCAAATTATAAAAACAAGGAAATATGAAGAAGTTTTAAGCTTAATTATTTCAGAATTTGAGTTACTTTTTAATTGTGAAACCCTTCCTTTAAAGAGAGTTTTCAAATTAATTAAAAGAAGGAGCTGACATTGTAGCCTTTTCCAGAAATAGAATAACTCTTCCTCCCTCAGTCCCCTAATGGTAGTCTTTAAAGAGATGAATACTTGTTTGTATCTACTTTTTTTACCTGCTCCAAGGTGATTTGAACATTTTTAAAAATGCTTATTTCTTTTTCATATTGAGTGGCTTCTTTGAGGCCTGGATGCTGATCTTTTATGGGGCTGGAGAATATAAACGTTTTACTACACAATATTTACATAGATTATTCAACTTATCTATTTCCTTTAAGGATGAGTCCTTAACTTTTTCAACCTGCCCTCGTTTCTTTTCACCTGATCTGAACGATTTTATGCTTATTTTATCCTTTTGCTTTTTCCACTTGCTTTTATTGTGTTGATTCCTCAGTGGGTTCTGTCTTGTTTGCACCCATTGCTTCTGTTTAACCAACTATTCCTCTCTCCCTGGCTGTGTGAATTGTCGTCGTGTTACCTTGTGTCTAGCTCCCCCATTTTCCACGGCTGTGTGAATGAGCGCCTGGCCGACCGCACACCCTCCCCCACTTTTTCCACGGCCGATTCCGACATCACTGAGCTGGCTGACGAACAGCAAGATGAGATGGAGGATTTTGATGATGAGGCATTCGTGGATGACACCGGCTCTGACGCAGGGACGGAGGAGGGGTCAGATCTCTTCAGTGACGGGCATGACCCGTTTTACGACCGATCCCCCTGGTTCATTTTAGTGGGAAGGTTGGTGAGGTTATTGTGAGAAAGGCAAAAAGGGACCAGCTCTTGCTGTACAGGCGTCTTTGTGCAATTGGGGGTAATCTTGCTTCTTAGCCAAGTCAATTCATGAACATTCAGTCCAATGTGTTAAGCTCTTTTTAAATGCTGCCCTGGTTAAAGAGAGACCACATGCATTGTTGGAGTGAGGTACTTAGTCTACTCAGAACAGCATGCAGCGACACAGAGGAAGACTTTATGACAAGAGAGGACCCATTAAGTTGCCCAATAATTTTGTTCTGAGGAAGGAACTCCAAAGGAGAAAGTAATTAAATCTAAAAGTGTAATGGGTTCAGAGAATGGCACTGTGGGTTAGATGTTTCCTCTTTAGAGATGTATAAAAAAGCACACTTAACAAAACCCCCAAACCACTGCCATCAAGTGGATTCCAAGTCACAACAACCGCCCGTCAGGTTTCCAAGGTGGTCAGTCTTTATGGGAGGCCACTGCCCATTTTTCTCCCATAGAGAAAAATTGAGCTCTTGAGTCAAGCCATTAATAAGCTTTCAGTTAGCAACTCAGCACATAATGCACTGTCCTACCAGGGCTTATTCAAAAAGCATAAGGAAGAATACCCAGATGGAAAAGAAATCAGAGCAAGGTCAAGGTGAAGCTGCAAATTCATGGCAGCAGTAGAAGTCAAGAGAACAGAATTGGAAATCAGCTATGTTTAGGTCTCTTCTTTGCTCAGTCTTCTGAGCTCTAAAAAAGAATCAGGAAAGTCAGTCTTCATTCATTTTTTACTAAAAAAGATTTCTTTTATTGGTAGGTTTCACAGAACTTATCTCTAATTGTGACTTTGGCTTCTGCTAACAAACTACCTGTAGACTTTAGAATGATGAATCCTAGAAAAAGTATTTGTTGACATTTTCAACCGTGGACATTTGCTCAGCACTAGATGAAACTGCTTTGTCTTGTTTAGTTCACCAGACTGAGGCATTGTCTCTGGCTCTCAGTTTGTGCATCCATCTGACAATGATCCAGAACCCTCCATGCACACATTCCTAATGCTAGTTAGTCTTTGTCTATATCCAATCTTCTCATGGAAGCAATTTTAGTTACCAGTTCAACAGTGCAGCACTCACTGCATTAACCAGAAAGTTTGTCCAGATTATAAGCGTAATTGTAATGATATATTAGAACCAGTGTTGTTGAACTCTAAAAATAAGGAGCTTTGTCAGTATAGAATGGACAAGACTTCAGCCCTTTCAGAGGCCTGAAATTCTAAAACATTGTTCATAGCACAGTGTTGGTCACCTGGTAGGAACTTAATAAATAATATAGAAAGTTATCATGTTTATCAATAGATAAAGAAGAAAAGGTATTTTTATATAAATACTGCAATTATGGGCTATAATATTAGGTAGTCTCTAGATTTCACAGTGGTAAAGAGGATCCATTTTCCATGGACAAAACATAAAATGATGAGGATGGCACAAGATAGGACAGGATTCATCCCCATTGTTCATAGGGTCACAATGAATTACATTCAACTCAGTGGCACTTAACAACATAGTAGTGAAGTTGTTCTGCTGGTTTATGATCTGAAATAGGTGCTTAGGATCGATTTGCTTAAGAATTTATTTTAATATTATTTGAGAAAAGTAGATGGGACAGTAGTACCTTCTTTATTACCGTCTGCGCTTCGATAACCTAATAGTCAGGAGCTGCATCACCAGCCCAAATTTTCGAGTCCACCAGCTGCTCAGTGGAAGAAAGATGGACATTCTCCTCCTCTGTGATTTACTGTCAGGTATAGGTCTGCTCTGACTCAACGGTACACAACAACAACAACAACAACATATGTTTCAGCACATTTCCCTGCTTTTCTGTGAGGGCCAGCAATTAGAACCATGCTTCTGGCCATCGACTACTGCTTCTTTGTGCCAGTTGCACAGCTGGCTCCTAGAGCATCTTATTTGTGCTCTTCACCATCGCATTGTGAGAAACAGCTTCATGTCATGTACTATGATAGAAAGAGACAGACTTAACTATGAAATCCTAGGCCTTGTTTCAGCATATCTTAGTAATGTTACTAACCTAGCACAGAGGACTTAAGCCTATTGGTTTTTCAAGTATAAAATGAAGTCTTAGGTGGAGGCTGTGAAGGCTTTAAAAATTTCTTTCAGATTCTGAAATCCACACTAGCAAAATGAATGACTACCCTTCACTAGGGTTTTCATCTATTCAGAAGCATTTCTATTTTGAGTCAGTTATATGAGAAACATAAAACCTCATATAGGGTGGGGGCATTCACTGGCTCTTAAGATCTGTGTACAATTTCCCCTCAAGTTTTAAACGTTCTGGCTATGTTAATTTTAAAGCGTATTAGATTTAAATTAAAACTCCAAAGATGCATTGCCTTCACACCAGAACCTAGTTATAGCTGACCCTGCAGTAGGTTCTCCTGAGACTGTAAATTCCACCAGAGGAGATGCCTGTCTTTGTCCCATGGACCTGAAACACCAGAGGGGTACCACTTCAGGCTTAACAGTGCAGCTCCCTAAGCACTGTGCTGCTTAAGATCTACTCTAAAATAATAACTTTGATTTTCAAGTAGCATGTTCATGGAGCTGTGGCTCATGAATTGACCTTTTCTACTAGTGCAGGTCCTCAGATTCTAAAACTAGCTGCCTTGCAAAAAGGAGGTTAGGGAAGAGATGAATTCACAGCGCTCATGTTCCACGTTTGTCCTTGATAACTTCTTATGTTCGAACAAAATGAGTAATGATAGAACAGCTTCAGCCAGTGCAAGGTAGTCATCATAGGTGTAAAAAGAGTAGTTTTCTTAATCCTGTATATTTGTGACTCACAGGATTGAATTTCCGATATTGGCACATAATTGCAGTTATAATTCACTTGTAAATTTTTCCAGCTTATAAAATTCCTTTTGAAAGTTTTGGGGATTTTGGCCTTGGCTACCTCTAGTGGAATCTTTATGTAAAGAAAATAAAAGAGCTTGTCCCTTTAGCTGTTCTCTTATGGCATGCTGGGATGTTATGAACCATCCTTTGTAATTTGGGAACAAATGTTACTATTTACTCTATAGGTTGACATGGGCGGGAGAAAAAGAAGTTATTCTGTCGCCTTTTTTGAGTACATGTACTGATATTCTTTCTGTAACCATCACCCTAATTATGCTGATTTTTCTTACCTTTGTTCCCTTTTTGATATAACTTCACAGACCTTCTGCTAATACATCCTTTGCATTTTCTCCTCTCACCCCTGTTCTCCTTCAGTCTGCTAAGCCAAGGTATATGGACTGGCAAGTCTTCCAGTTTAAAAAGCTTTGGAAAGAAGCATCTAGGGTGGATTTGGGGCTGAGGACTCGATCCTGATACTGAGACTGGCAGTGGTCTTGCGATTATGCACTTGTGCATTCCTAGTGCCACTCAGTGGTCTCCCCTGCTGCTACCTAGACTTGGAGGGTTCTCCTTTCTAAAAGGGGAAATGTACACTGTTTTGAGATTTTGTATGTTTACAGATAGATTTGCCTCACCACCAACAGAAAGGAGATTGTCTTTAATGTAAGCTTAAACAGTACTTGATTGTAATGTTTATGTGTAAATTATAATGTGCATACGGTATCGTTGACTAGCAAGTGGTTTTTGGGTTTTTTGAGTGGGTTTTTTTAAATTTTTTTTATTTAAAAGCTTTTATGCCTGCTTTTAAAGAGCTATTTTTAATGTAGCATATTGAGTATAGTTAGGAGTCTAAGCAAGTTCCATGTAGTTAATATTTATCACAAGAATAGTGTGAAGTCACCCTCGTACAAAGTTGGATGGTTTTGCTTTTCTACCTCTGGTGCAGTTTGGTTTTCTGGCAAATCTTCTGTCTAGTTAAAGATAGAAGACAAATCATTTTCCTGCTCCCTGATGGACATGTGTGTTCAGTCACTAACTAGGTACTTAGTGAGTCTATTTACAATACACCAGACCCTCTGCAGACAGCAGCGAGGCAAAACCAAACAGGGTCCTTCCTCTCAGCCTTACATACACCTTGATGGAGGAAACCGGCATAAGCAATCACAGAAATAAATGAAGATTATATTATGATGACGTTGCTGTTGTGTACCATCAAGTCGGAACCAATCCATAGTTGACCCTCCAGCGGGTTTGCAGAGGAAGTTAATCACAGGAAGGAGATTGCCCATCTTTCTCCCAAGGAGCTGCTAGAGAACTTGAACCTCATGCCTTTGGGATTGCAGCACAATTTCTTGCCACTAGGCCACCAGAGCCCCCTAGATTATATTATAGCAGTGATGGAAAATTTATGTATGTTGCCAGGAACATACAGCATTGGGGGGGACAGGCCCTGGACTATTCACATATTTGTAATAATAACTGAAGGTAGGGAATTAGAGGCATGAGGTGAGCAGTAAAGTACAGAAAGGACTCTAGTCAGGGACATGTATGTGGCTGAGGAATTGTAAGTGGCAGGTCTGACCAGAATGTCTTAACGGATGAAGGGAGCTTTGGAAGAGAAATTGTCCATTTGGTACCTTGTGCCAAATTCATAGTCTATTAACCTCTGTGACCATAGTTGATGTATGATAATCATGTTTGAAATCCTTTTTAGAAAATGTTTTATTTCCTTTTTTTGTATAATGAAACTTTAAACCCTGTGTTTCTTAATATTGCCCCTACTCCCTTTGGAGCAGACTGAAAGGGAAGTCGACATCATTTGTTCTGCTTTAATGTTCACATGCAATTGTTTTTTAATAGTTTTCATTCATATTTCATTTATGCTTTTGTTATTAATATTTTGCTCTTTCTCTGTGACGTATTTTGCCTACTTCCAGAATTTTCTTTCATTATTTTAAGTTGAAGTCCCAAATATCCACCCCATCTTCCTTTCTTCTTTGTTTTAAAGTAGATTTCAGAGCAGGAAAAGAAGCAGACAGGCTTATGTGTCACATGAAGTTTCGTTTGACTTTTTGATGCCATTATTTGCTATGTCTTTTGTCTTATGTTCAAAGATCAGCATATACCAAGTAGGGAGACAGGAGTAACAGTGGGAACTAGATTCCATTTCTCATCCACTGATTGGAGTAAAAATTCTTAAACTTCGTGATAATCAGTTTTCATTCTTTTTAAAAATCGATAATGGCAAAGCAAGGAGAGCTAGGATAAAACATAATAGCATGATAGAATGCTGCTAGTATATTAAAAATAGAAAATGTTAGATCTGTAACTTTTAGTGTGGCATTTCTGAATTAGATTTGAGTCTCAAATGCAATCCCTTTAAGGCTTAGCATGTATCTAGATGCCGTTTCAGAGTCTGCTCTAAACTTAGTATTTGGCAATTTCTGGCCACTTAGCCTCCCACCTGCCCATATTTGTCTGTTTATTATGTCAGTCACCCTACTTGAAGCTTGCAATCATTTATAAAGATCATGAATCATAATGCTGTGGTACAAAGTCTGTTTAAGAGTTGTTAACTCTTCCACTTAATATTTCCCTATGGGTTTTTTTTTCTCTGACTTACGTTTTATATATGTTGTTGTGTACCATAGAGTCAGAATCGACCCATAGCTGACCCTCTGGTTGGTTTTCAGAGGCAGTTAATTGCATGGGAAGAGATTGCCCATCTTTTTCCCATGGAGCAACTAACTGGAGGCCTCAAACCAAGTGCCTTCGGGATTGCAGTACAGTTTCTTGCCACTAGGCCACCAGAGCTCGTTTTATATATGGGGGACAAAATGAAACAAAACCTCATTATAATAATTCTTTACCCTGAGAGAGTTAAGTCTTTAATGGACTTCATTTCTCCTCCTCTCCCTTTAGCAGTCTTTGTAAAGCAGGCTCTTGAAAGTCTACTTCCAATTGTTACTCTTCTACCTACAGTAATAATCTTTATGGAGTAATTTGGTGTAAGTTGGTCTTTGTCAACTGCTTTGCCAAACGATGGCATTTGTTTATGTCTTTGACTAAAGAAGTAAATTGAGGCAACCTGAGAGTACAGAACAGAGGGGATGGATTGAGACAAGGCCCCAGAGCCAGCTCTCAGATTCGTGAAGATATTCTTAGTGACTCTGAAAGTCAGCTTCTGTCTCTGGGATGCTCTGATGTTTTCTCCTGGTGTCTATCCCTAGGGCATTTGTTTACCTGAGCAATCTGCTGTATCCAGTGCCCCTGATCCACAGGGTTGCCATTGTCAGCGAGAAGGGAGAAGTACGAGGATTTCTGCGTGTAGCTGTACAGGCCATTGCAGGTAGGTCACCCTCCTCACAAAGAAAAGCTGTGGATTCTTTGCCTAGAGACAGAGCAGGCTCGTTCTGTGTGGGTTTAACTTTATTTACATGTATAACCAGAGGCAGGGTTTTTGTTTCTCAAAAACTTCCTTGCTTGCTTTCCTGCTGTTGTTCCCAAGAGTCATAAGTTCCCTTCTTAGTCCGGGATGCTATTATTTGGGGATAAAGGAATTTCATTTAACACAAAGTAAATACAACCCTTGGATCAACTTTATAAAAGTAATTTCCATTTTGAACAATGCTGCTTTAATCGCTTTCGAGGTAGCAAGATTTTTTTAGAAACTTTTCCTGCCTAATTTTTCTTGGAGTACTTCTAATTCGCATGTTTATCCTTAGGCAGCTATTTTGTAAAACATGATCAAGGTACTGATGTTTTTCACTTTTCCATGATCCATCCTACGTTCGAAGGAAAGAATGTGGCCATTTCCTGACATTTTTCTGCCATGATTGCCAGATTGTGTGCTATGTTTAGTGACCTTTCAGCCTTTTCCCCATGGAAACCTGTGGCACTACCAATACTGAGTTTCTGAATGTCCCCTCCAAAACTACACTGCAGCATTTTCAAATATTTGTTATGTATTATTGAATATAGTCTTGCCAAGATGAAAAAGGGTCAGTATTTTCTAGATAAGAAATTTGGGCAATTCCAAGAATAAAACTGATTCTTTATTAACCTGTCTTGTTTAAGTGAAAGAGCTTGGAATTTGAAGGAACACTGGTCATTTTAATACTTGGATCTCATTCTTTTTTATGCAAAATATTTGTTTTTCTTCTTCTCCCCCCCTCCCCCAGATGTAGCCATTTTCAGGGACCTTAATGATCTCACTTATCCTTAAGGCTGGTAACATGGCTTTAATATTACCAGCTTTCAGAATATTTCTGCAAAAACATACACAGGTTAATACTTTAGTTTTTGACTGTGTGGATCATAACAAACTGTGACTGACTCTCAGAAGAATGGGAATCCCAGAACACTTTGATCATGCTAATGCGAAACCTATACTTGGACCAAGAGGCAGTCATCAGAACAGAGCAAGAAAACACTGCATGGTTCAAAATTGGGAAAGGTGTACGCCAGGGATGTGTCCTATCTCCATAACTTTTCAACCTGTATGCAGAACAGATTATCCCAGAGGCTGGGCTCTATGAGGAGAAGTGTCTATGAGGCGTCAGGATTGGTGGAAGATCTATTAACAATCTGCGTTATGCAGATGACACAACCCTGCTTGCTAAAACTGAGGAGGACCTGAAATGCTTACTGCAGAGGGTCAAGGACTGCAGTCTTCAGTATGGATTGAGGCTCAATGTTAAGAAGAGAAAGATTCTCACCACTGGACCAATTGACAGCATCAGGATGGATGGTGAAGAGATTGAGATTATTCACAACTTTAGTGTGCTTGGCTCCACGGTCAGCACTCTTGGCACCAGTAGCCAGAAAATCAAAAAATGTTTTGCAGTGGGAACATCTGCTGATAGGGACCTCTCCAAGGTAATGAAGAGCAATGGTGTCACTCTGGAGACTAAGGTGTGTCTGATACAGTCTTTGCAATTATTTGTTATGCATCAGAGAGTTGGACAATGACTAGGGAGGATAGAAGAAGAATTGATGCCTTTGAGCTGCAGTGCTGGAGAAGAGAGTATTGAATGTACCCTGGACTGCAAAGAAAACAAACCGATTCATCCCAGAGAGAGTTAAACCAGGCTGCTCTTTGGAGGCAAAAATTCTGGGGCTTCATCTGACATACTTTGGACATACTGTAAGGAGGGACATCATGCTTGGGAGGGTGGAGGGATGACGCAAGAGGGAAAGACCCTCTATGAAGTGGATTGATTCAGTGACTGGGATAATCGGGATGGGTGTGTCAGAGGCAGTGCGATTGGCACAGGATAGAGCAGGGTTTAGGGCTATTGTACATAGGATTGCTTTGAGTCACAAGGGACTCCACAGCACATAACAACAACAACCTCATTTTAAAGTTCTCAACAGCATAAATCCAACCTCTTTCTATTACAATACAGTAATAGTTGTTTTCCCTCCTCCTGTGGTATCTCATTCAGTCTGGGGTTTTTTTGTTGTTTTTTTCCTACTTAGCGGATGAAGAAGCTCCTGATTATGGCTCTGGAATTCGACAGTCAGGAACAGCTAAGATATCATTCGATAACGAGTACTTCAGTCAGGTGAGAAACTGTCCAGGAAGGGGGGAAGTACATGGACTTGGGAGAATTTCTAGCAGTAGAGACTAGTTCTCCTACTTAAAATTTAAAAATATAGTTGGTAGTCCCCCAGCCTTAATAGAATATGGGATATGCCTAACAGGAACAAAGGTAAAGATTCCACATTACGAAAGATGAAATCAATATTTATATTTTATCGAACCTTTTTTCTCAGGCAACTTTTATTCCATATAATTTTCCTTTCACTAGTACTTGTTGGGCAAGTAAGGCACATGGAGAAAAAGGTTACTGTACTACTTAATCATCTACCTACCTCTGCCTTGCTTTCAGAATGACTTTTCTTCGGTTGCAATGACCCGTTCTGGTCTTTCCTTGGAGGAGTTGAGAATAGTGGAAGGACAGGGTCAGAGTTCTGAGGTGATCACTCCCCCAGAAGAAGTCAATCGAATGAATGACTTAGGTATGTAGACAGAACAGAATGTACTTGAGTGTGGGTGTTTTCAAAGAGGGGAAAACACTACCCTTTGTCAAGGGTCTTCGTGATTTCATCAGTGAGGAACGGACATAATGCCTAACCTTCTCCTTTTTGCAAGGTAGTATGTGTATTATCAGAACTATAAGTGTGTTCCTTTATTTGACCCTCTTTAGATTTGAAGTCAAACACTTTGCTGAATGGTAAGATGGTTATGGAAGGGTTTTCTGAAGAGATTGGCAACCACCTGAAACTGGGCAGTGCCTTCACTTTCCGAGTAACCGTGTTGCAGGCCAGTGGAATCCTTCCAGAGTATGCAGACATCTTCTGTCAGTTCAAGTAAGCTGTTCTACCTTCCTACCTATTAACTGGGATGACACGTGTCCAGATCTTTTGCATACCATATAGTGCTTGACATTCAAGAGAGTTTAGCATTCACAAGCAGTAAACCACTAGCAGTCTCGGAAGTAACACTTTCTTCATTCAAGTTTGGAATAACAACAGGAAGCCAACAGTGGCATGAAACAGGGTATAGTGTGAGAGACAAGTATGCTCTGAACCCTGCCAAAGAGCTTCTGTGAGGACTAACTCCCTCCGTCAGCCTGGAGTCTGGTCCTGAGACGGCTGTTAATTCGCTCATTTAGAGCTCTGCATGCTGAAATGTCTTCTTCATGGTTCTTTTTTTTTTAAATTTTATTATTATTCGTATGTGTGTTGCCCCTCCTTCTCCAGCAGAGCATCTGATGTATTCGAACTGTGCGCCTCTGGGATTGCAGTGCAACTTCTTGCCACTAGGCCACCAGAAGCCCGCCCTTCATGGTTCTTTTGCATTGTTGATAGTAGCTGTCAAGTTACTTGCTCCCTAAGGAGACCTTGTGTGAGTTAGAGTAGGACTGTTCTCCATAGCGTTTTCAGAGCTGTGACTTTTGGGCACATCTTTGGATCTGTCTTCTGAGTTATCACTAGGAAACACCTTTTGGAGAATCTTACATTTTATTGCCTCCCAAGATCAATGTATCCTTTCATTATGCGGAAAGCAAAGTTGTACAAAAGAATGAAATCTGACCTACCCCTATACACAGTGATGCCACCAAAATGTCCCATGTCTCCCTGGGGATCCTAATTTCATTTCTGAAGTATCACTTTGACTTAAATGTCTTAACCAGGTCCTTAGCTAAATGTGATTACCATAAAGCACATCAAGAAAACAAAGATTCTCACCACTGGGCCAATTGGCAGCATCAGTATGGATGGTGAAGAGATTGAGATAGTTAACAGTTTTTGTTTACTTGGCTCCACAGTCAACACTCTTGGTAACGGCAGCCAGGAAATCAGGAGATGAATTGCATTGGGAAAGTCAGCTGTGAGGGACCTCTCAAGAGTACTGAAGTGCAGCGACATCAGGCTGGAGACTAAGGTGTACCTGATGCAGGCTATAGTCTTTGCAATTACGTGCTAATGCATCAGAGAGTAGGACAGTGACTAGGAATGATAGAAGGAGAATTGATGCCTTTGAGCTGTGGTGCTGGAGAAGAGTGCTGAATATACCGTGGACTTCTAGGAGAACAAACAGATTTATCCTGGAGAGGGTGAATCTAGAAAGCTCCTTGGAGTCAAGGATTCTGAAGCTTCTTCTGACATACTTTGGGCATGTTGTAAGGAGGGACTGGTCCTTGGAGAGGGACGCCATGTTTGGAAGAGTGGAGGGACGGTGCACGGCTCAGGAGAGGAAAACCCTCGATGAGAAGAATCGATTCTGAGTGGAGTGGTGGGAATGAGTGTGTTTGAGACGGCGAGGTTGGCACAGCATAGAGCAGCATTTAGGGCTCTTGTACATAGGGTCCCTATGAGTCACAAGCGACTCAATGGCACATAACAACAACAACAATCATAAAGTAAGTCATTAATTTGCTATCACTTTTAATTGTTGAAATAATGTTACCTATTCAGTATTGATTTTACCTGTTTAAGGTGTTTGCTAACAGCTCTGACGTTAGGGTAATGTTGAGCTAGCTGATAATCACTTTTTGGTAACACTATGATTCTAATTTAATAACCAATATATTTTGTGGAAAAGACTTACTCAGTTAGCTGATGTCTACGGCGATGATAATGGTATGTTAGCCTTTCTCCTAAAATCTAGAAAGAGGACATCCCCCTTTGGAGGAAGATCATGATGAGACCTAAAATCTTGAATTTTTAGAAACTGTGTAAACCTTGTATACAGAGACTAAACAGCACCAGAGTCCTGTGACTGACTTCATGTGTCCCCAGTGCAGTTTATCTGTACATCCTACAATGGCAGAATATTGTTCTTTTTTGTTAGGTACTGTCATACCCTGTAATCGAGTCATACCCTATAAACAACAGACCTAAATCCTGTCCTATCCTGTGTCATCCTCATCGTCTCTGATAGTCACCGTGTCAGCTCACCTCATTGAAGGTCTTCCGTTCTTTTCACTGATCTGTCTTTCCAAGGAATAGCCTCTCCTACTCTCCTAGCCACATGCCCAAACTAGGAGACATGAAGCTTCTCCATCCTTGCTTCCAAGGAGCACTCTGGCTGCACATTTTCCAAGACATACCTGTTTGTCCTTTTGGCATTCCATGGCTTATTCAGTACTTTGTTCCTACATCACAACTCAAAGGCATCAGTTCTTCTTCTGTCATTCATAGTCACCTGATTCTTAGCCTGCCTCTGGCAGGTTAAATGAATAAGGGATGGGAGGATAAAAAGAAGAGAAGGAGGGAGCTCTGATGGCCTAGTGGCAGGAAGCTGCACTGCAGTCCCAGAGGCACACAATTCAAATCCACCAGATGCTGTGCTGGAGAAGGAGGGGCAATCGCCTTCTGTACTAGTCAGATCCAATTTGATGGTACACATACAAAAAAATTTTTTTTTTTAAAAAAAAAAAAAGAAGAAGAAACGGAAAAAGATTTGGAGAAGAAAGAAAATAGGGAGGGTGCTTATGGTACACTCCACGCCGCAGTGCCACACTCCATCCCACGCTCCACCGCATCCATCATGCAGAAAGCCTGGGAAAAACATGCATTAGTCCCCCTGCTGGGGAGTTCATTTACATGACAAGACCTTTTATCTTCTTGGAGGGCAGGGACAATGTCCTTCTAAAGGATGTTTCTATTAAGTACAAATCTTTGTGATAAGTATTTTTTTAATACCTCACTTTTATTTCAAACTAATAAAATCTCACCATTTGTGAGAGTAAATAAAAATAGCCCATTGACATGAAAAAAAAATCTCAAAATATCTTTTATGTGTCAAGTCCTGTGCCAGAGTCACTCTCTGTCAGTGAAAGCCACACTGTGGGAGAAAGGGGGCCCCAGTGCTGGAGGAACACCAGTCATTTTGGGGGGGAAAGAACCACCACACTATGTGATGTATAAAGTGTTCTGTAAAAACATTCAGCTAAGGAATCTGCATAAGCAGGATATTTCTCTCATTGAATCCAAGTTGGACTTTTCTAATGGAGACCATGATGAAACTGTAATGTGTAATTCAACTTGTCTTTTTTTGTTGTGGTTTATTAAGCTTTTTGCATCGGCATGATGAAGCGTTCTCTACCGAACCACTCAAAAACAACGGCCGAGGAAGTCCTCTAGGTTTTTATCACGTGCAGAATGTAAGTGACTGCACCTTGTGGCCCCCTGTGTTGAGGGTGTGTGTGTGTGTGTGTGTGTGTGATGCACTTAAGTGGCTGGTGTGAGGAAGCACAGGCTTGTGTGGGCTCCTTTCAGAGTTCAGAAAGCGGTCTGAGGGAAGCAGCTCTGCGAGGGGCGAAGGGAGAGACTAGACAATAGAGGGAGTGGTCAGAGCAGTGAGGTAATCCTAAGTAGAAGAGCAGCCAGCCTTTATCTAAACTACAATAGGTCCTGTGACCAGAATCTTCCATCAGTTTGAATGTAGAGAGTTTTTGTTTCCTCTCTAGAAAAATAAGCTTTTAAAAAAATGTGTTTACTATAAGAATTTTATTAAAGTTACATGTTAAAAGATACATACATTGTTCAGTTACAAATAATGTAGAAAAAAATACAGAAAATATCTTTTGCCCTTAAGTTAAAATTCATAGTTCCATTTTCCTTGAAACTTGCATTATATATAACTGTTAATTCTTTTTACAGCTCTCTCATACATGGAGTACGTAAACAGAATTTTTATCGTAGATTTCTTTCCAGTTCTGTTGGAAAGCCATTGTCATCACAGTAGCTTTCATTAACTTTTCCCATTACTGTTTGTTTTGTCTTAACTCCTTTAATCCTCATCTTTACACCATGAATTATAATAATCCTGCTTTTACAACTGAGATAATTGAGTCAGGTTAAAGTATCCCACTAAAGTTACAAAGCAAAGAATGGCAGAGGTAGGATTTAAACCCTGAGAAATCTTACTTACCCCAGAGTACACAATCTTCACTACAACATAAACCTCTGTATCATTTACTTACCAGACATATCTAGTTAATAAAGTAAGAGAGAAAAGAATAATTGTAATAATGGCACAACTCAACATAAAATGCACTGATTTCTTTTTATGTTTTGAAATAATGTTGTTGTTGATTGCCTTTGAGTTGAGCAGGACTCATAGTGACCCTATGAACAAAAGGCTTGAAGCCCCTCTACAATTACCGACATTTATCGAAGTTCATAGAGTTTCCAGAAGCATGTTGTTTAGGAAGTAGATGCTACTCTTGTTTCGAAGTTAACTGTGTTATTAAATATAAGCATGTGCATATCTGGTAAATATTGATTTATTAGGACTGTGCCAGGAAACACAGAGATGAATCACAATTATGCTTTTGTGGAGTTTAGAATTGTGAGAAGGGCACCAGAGTGCATGTATGAATACCAAATACCAGTAGTACCATATAAAGAACATTAGAGAGGCATTAGTGAAAAACAGTAGGTTTGGAAAGACAGGAGAATTATTCCAATAATGGAAAGACACTATTTATATATTGGAGAGGGGTGAGATCTTTAGGTAAAGAAAGGAGGTGGGGAAGCTTCCCAAAGGTTGTAGTAGAGGGAAGAAAAGATGTGTCAAACTTGGCATTGTACCTGACACAAAATCAATAGGCAACATGTGATTTTCTTTTATTTGGTTGTAACTCTTTGAGTTAGACTTTGAAATGTTGAGATCACTTGGTTATGCGGCATTGGGGAGTGACTTTCCAGCAGGATACAGACCCACAGGAGGAGGGAGTGGGCAGGAGGAGGTGTGTGCATTTGAGCCCAGTCAGTGTAACCTGTGATCATCAGGACGGAGTGTAGAGGTTCTTAAATGCTAAGCTGCTAGAGTGCTTGCAGAATAGAGCCAGTAAGGACCCTCTTTCTTTGACATGAAAAGCCTGTGTAGTAAAACAAACTGCCTGTGCTGGGCATTCATAAACTGCTGAAGTTAAGACTGCAACAAAATATAACTTATAATAAGTGATTCTCTAATCTTGCTTGGCTTGTGCTTTATTAGATCGCGGTGGAAGTCACTGAGTCGTTTGTGGAGTACATCAAAACCAAGCCCATCGTTTTTGAGGTCTTTGGACATTATCAGCAGCACCCACTTCACCTGCAAGGACAGGAGCTTAACAGGTTTGGATCAGAGGAGCAAAGATTTCTGTTGTAATTTTTTTTTAAGTTCTGATTTGCTGAAAATATTAACTCTCTACAGAGATTTAATAGAACAACAGCAACATATTTCTTCTAGCCTCCTAATCATTAATTTTATGTAACACAGGAGCATTTTGTCCATAACTTTGAATATCATCTTACTGTAGGAGACTTTGAATAGAGTAGAAGAGTGAGTAACAATTAGGGGTCTGTCATGAGAATTGAGTACAACTGTTCCTAATGACCTAGAGCTTTGTAAAACATAAGCACTTAAGTCAACAGAACTAAAACTGTGCATCCACGCTTGACCTCTCTGGTTTCTGAAGTTACAAATTCTTAAACGAGACTGCCTATCTTTCTCCAAAAGAGCAGCTAATGATTCAGACTGCTGACCTTTCTGTTAGCCGCCTAGCAAGGGGCTTCCTATACTCCCAGGGCTCTGTGTACAATCATCAGATTGAGGAGAAGATCAACAGCAAGGACTAATGATGACAGAGCATCCCTACTCACAGAAAATAGTTCTGTCTTTTCTGTTAGCAAGGATTTACATGAAGACTTTGATGACAGTGTCTTAGTCTTATTTTCACTGTGTGGATTTGTGTGTCACTTCCTGGTATTAGACCAGAGGGTACATAAATAGTACAGAGAGCTCAGAATACCTAGTTTCTAACAGGAATTTAACACACCTTTAATATTATCTTCTTTTCCTATAGCCCACCTCAGCCATCACGACGGTTCTTCCCTCCGCCCATGCCGCTCTCTAAGCCAGGTGAGCATGAGCCGGGTTGTCTGCATGATGTTCTGTTTCTATATGATTGTGTCACTTAATTCAGAATAACTTTTCAGAGGAAGGTCATGTCCAAATTCTTGCTCCCCGTCTTCGTATCCTTAGCAGCTCTGATAATTCTTGGTACCTAACTTAGAATTAAAAGAAACAAACAATAATGTTGTATCCCTGCCAATTTGCTGGTCTTTATTTCTTAAACCTGGGGCAAATTTTGATACCTTTCTATACTTAAATTTGCCCTGTAAACTCCCCATAACTCCAGAGACTTTGCATTTGATATTCTGCATGTTCAGTTAATCTTGTTTTGATTTTTCTTTATTTTCATCCTTTCTCCTCAATGCCTACTTGCCTAACTTCCCACCTACCCTTTGATCATTCTCTACCCTCTTTACTCCTATGTCCATCTTGTCTTCAGACCATGAGAGAAAGATTGAACTGATTCGGTTTCTCATGTCTGACTATGTGAATGTGCATGTACTGGACACATTTTCTGAGCACGCCAACGAGCTTGCATCCTCTGCTGTTGCCACCTTCCAGGATGGGGCTGACCCGTTGCCGCCTTTTCTCTTTCTGCCAGTTCCCAGCTGCCAGAGCGAGAGGGTACCCAAACGAGATGGTTAGTAGCTAAAGTAGCTCTGCCCTAGATGTAGAACCATCCTCAGGTGCTTGTTCTAAAGACTGCACCTCTGGGTATGATATTCCTAGACTTGAGTGTATCAGCAAGATCTTTTCACTTTTCCTCAAAGAGATTTTCAGAAGCTTCTTCTCCACTTGGGCCTCTTTGTCATATCACTTAGGGGATGAGGGGACTGGGATGAAGTTTTTTAAGTTCTATGTGATAGTGTATTTTTATTTAAAAGATTTTTACTAAGAGATGAGGTTTAGCTTTGTTTTTAATACTTCCAAGTTTGTTTTTAGATTCTTAGATGATTGCTAGAATCAGTAACTCTTTTTTTTTTTTAACATCAACTACTCATGTAGAATTCAGTGGGGATGAATAATAATGCTAAACTACACATTTGAATATTACTCTATGGTTCACATATGGTGAGGCTTTGTCTCATGCACTTTGACTTCTTATCAGGAAAGACTAGTCCCTGGAGAAAGGTATCGTGCTTAGTAGAAGATCAGCAAAAAAGGAGACAACCCTCAGGGCCATGGATTGGCCGGCACAGGGGCTGTGACAGTGGGCTCAAAACAGAGCTAGGGTTGTGAGGATGGCTCATGACCAGACAGTACTTAGTGCTGTTTTACATGGTGTCGCTGTAAGTCGGAAATGAATCACTAGCAACTGATGTAAAAACAAACAAATAGGGTCCATAAACCCCTTATCACATATTTGCCAGTGTGTCTTTGCAATACTTTTTCCAGATAGGAATGTTGAGTACCATCATCCACCCTTTATAGATGAGAAGACAGGCCCGCAGAGGTTAAGTGACTCATCTAAAGTCATACCTAACTAGTTAGTGGATAAGCAGTAATTATATTCCCAGATCTTGGATGCTCAAGCTTGTGCTCACAAATTCTGAGCACAAAACTCTCATTGTCTTGCTAGACTTTTAGCATCTATATACTGTGAATCTGAAATTCTTGAAAATACCAGGGTTTTGGCTTATTTCCTCTCTACAGTTAAGTGCATGGAATTTAAATTTATAGAAAATGTATAGCACAAGATCATGTCTAGAATCCTGTATTTACCAGCCTATTAGAACAGTGGTTTCCAAACATAGCTACTTATCAGAATTACCTGGGGAGTGTCAACAGTTTATGGTTCCTAATCTCACCCCAGAGATAGTGATTTAACTGGTTTGGGGAAGTCTGGGCCTTGCAAGCTTTTCAAACCACAGGTGACTGTCATGTGTGAGCAGGTTGGAGGAGGGTGAGCATTTTGCCACACCACTGGATGGCAGTGGGCTTATTTATCTTGGTTTTTGTGGAAGGTTGTTGATAATGAAGTTTCTTTGAGTTCACTGTGTTTAAATCTATCCCCTAAGTCTTGCTGCTTTTCTCATATGTATCCTTAAAAACTTACATGGAAGAAACTTGTATTTTTATTGAGTAGACTTGGATTAGATTTTAACATTTTCTAAAAATTTTTTAAAGTTCCAGCCACCAAATTAAACACCATGAGCAAAACCAGCCTTGGCCAGAGCATGAGCAAATATGACCTTCTCGTTTGGTTTGAAATCAGTGAACTGGAGCCCACAGGAGAGTAAGTCCAACCACCTAAATGTTTATGTAAGGGGAAGTGTTTCAAAATAAGGTGATATTTTGAGTTTTCTTATATCAAGTTCTTGAAACACCATCACTGTCATATTCTAGTTTTCAGTTGAATTTTAGTGACTTTGGTAGAAAAGACAAATGTTTGCTGGAGAACTAACTACCCAGTATCATTGCCTTGTTAAAACAGCAGTCGTAAAGACTTTATTTAGCAGTGGAGCTGTAGAGACTTATGTAACAATGAAAAATAGATGTACACTGTTAGGTAGAGAAGACAATATATGTAGTGGGTTTTATCAGCTGCAAAGCTGTTACAGATGGAGACAGAAGCGTATGTCATGTAAAAGGATCAAGTCTTACATTACTCTCAGAGGTTGGGAAAAGAATGCTTCCTAAGTCAGTATTTCTCCAGCTCCACACTGTTTTGTGGTGGACTATCTTGTGCAATCTATTTCACACCATCCAGTGGATCTACTCAGAGGCACCAGTAGCGCCGCCTCCCAGTGTTGACTACTGAAAATGTCTGCTGTTGCTCCCTCCATAATAAAACCACCCTGACTGAGAATGGCTGTTCTGGATCCAGATGTAGAGCTTACTTGTAGATGAGCTGTGTTAGAGTTAAGTGACAGGTCCAATTAGTGTATATAATTCTTTTCAAAAATACTTTTATGAGGAAAGAGAAATCCTTTACCTGAAACAAAGGCAAACGGTTATCAGTTAATGTAAAGGGTAGGGTGTAAATGTAGTACTGTAATGATCCTTACCAGGATAGACATAGTATATTCTGTTTGTAGGATGGCATGTGGATATGGCTAGATCATCCCTGTTTCTAGTTGCCAGTATCATCATTGGTTTGAGGAATTTGACTTTTCCATGGACAAGTCTGTAATGGGATTACAACTTACATTGAGTAAGGAGTTGTCACAGTAATAGTTTATACTGAGTTAATGGCTTTCTAGATGCTTAGAAAATGTCTGCAGTCTTTATCTGCTTTTTATCTCTTGTCAATTTTCTTTGCACTTAACACATTTTGAGTGTCTTTGATTCGGAGACTGAAATGAAGCCTAAAAATGTTACTATTCTTTGAGCTTATCAGTTTCATAAGGATTATAAGACAGAGATGGGGAAAATGCTTAATCAGTGCAGATAATAATTTGAATAAATGCTAAAATGGACCTATTAAAATAAATAAATAAATAGGAATTAGAGTTTAGAAAAAGAAAGACCAACAGGAACTATAGCAGCGAGGAAAGATCTCACAGGTGAAATAGGACTGACTTAGCAATGAGCATTCTAATAACTTCTTTTGTATTTTCCTTTCTATAGATATATTCCAGCTGTGGTTGATCACACTGCAGGCTTGCCTTGCCAGGGGACATTTTTACTTCACCAGGTACTAAAAAGGAAAAAAATGAGGGTCTAAGATGGACACCAAAAAGAGTTTAGAATAAGAAATACAGCTCTTCCTGCTTCTCTTATGTCGCTTACAGCTCTCATGAATTTCTCTCTCTGTGACACTGGTTGAGATGTATCTTGCATTCTCCACTGCAGAGGTGGGAGGGGGCCATTGTGCTATTTGTTTTCCTCATTTTCATGTTTCTTCCTTAGAATATTCATTGTTTATACATATCTTTGTGTTTTTTTTATATAAATGTTTTAGACAAGCTGTTTTGAAGAAGTTCGTTTCATGGAGCTGCTATGATTTGTACAGATCCCATGCCCTTTTGCCCTCAGTTTTTATTCATGCTAATTGGAAGTGCTGTTCTTATCACCATATGTCCTTTTATTTTATTTTATTTTATTATTTTGTGTGTGTGTGTACACCGTCAAATCAGATCTGACTGGTACAGGAGGAGATTTTCCCTCCTTCCTCGGCAGAGCATCTGGTGGATTTGAACCATGCGGCTCTGGGATTGCAGTGCAGCTTCTTGCCACTAGGCCACCAGAGCTCCCCATCACCATATGTTCCTAATGGGGGTAGAAGGGAAAGATTTCAATGGACTAAAATTCTGATTGTGAAATCTAGATATCCTTTGGCCAATCTAAATAGATTTTGTCAGTTCTTAAAGATACTTATAACCCAGGTTCACATAGGAACTTGGGCCCGATATTTTAGAACTGAAAACCTGGACAGCTGGTCCTAAAGCTATATCAGAACTTGGCAATTAAAAAATAAATAAATAAAAAGAACTTGGCAATTCCTCAGTCCTCACCCCATTTCCCTTTGTTTAGAATAACAAGGTTCGCATTTCTCTGTCTCTCCATGCTTTTCTTTCCTATCCATTCTTAAGTCTCCACACCAGAAATTCGAAACATAACAAACAGGAGGAAATAGTAAGTTGTCACTGCTGAAGTACATCCTTCCTTCATTACGCAGGGCATCCAGAGAAGGATCACAGTGACCATCATCCATGAGAAGGGGAGTGAGCTCCACTGGAAGGATGTACGGGAGCTGGTGGTCGGTGAGTATCTTCCACTGACTGAGAAGGAGGTGAGCTTTTTAGTGATGTTATTGTGCTCTTTTAAAAGGCTCATGCTTAAAGGTCTTCTTAAAAGAGGAAGCTTCTCACCGAGATGAATTAACACAGCTGCTCCTACAATGGACTTAAGCCCAGCAAAGATTAACAGGAGCAGGCTGGATTTCATCCTGTTGTACATAAGCTTGCCAGCATAAACTCAACACCTGCTTATGCTTTCTTTTAGCATTGGTGGTATGTGGAACACCAGATTGCAGAATATGGACTGAAGAGAGTATCAGGGCCTCATGTCTGAAAATACAGAGTGCCAAAATTACCTAATAATAATAATAATAATAATATTTTTATCAAGCAAAATTCTGCTAAAAATTATCCTAAAACAACTGGAACAGTACATCAACAAATAGCTGCCAGATGTGCAGGCTGGATTTAGAAGAGGCTGTGGTACTAGGGATATTACAGTTAATGTTAGATGGATCTTGATTGAAAGAAGAGATTACCAGAGGAGTGTCTATCTGTGTTTTATTGACCATGCAAAGGCATTTGACTGTGTGGATACCAACAAACTGTGGTTGACTCTGAGAAGAAAGGGAATCCCAGGATGTTGGATGATGCTTATGTGAAACCTATGCTTGGACCAGGCGGCAATCATCAGAACAGAGCAAGAAAACACTGCATGGTTCAAAATCAGGAAGGGTGTATACCAGGGATGTGTCCTATCTACACATTTTTTTCAATCTATATGCAGAACAGTTTATCTGGGAAGCCTGGGCTCTGTGAGGAGAAATGTGGCATCAGAATTGAAGGAATACTCATTAACAATCTGCATTATGCAGGTGACACAACTCGGCTTGCTAAAACTGAGGAGGACCTGAAGAGCTTGCTGCAGAAGGTCAAGGACTGTAGCCTTCAATATTGATTGAAGCTCAACATCTAGAAAACCAAGATTCTCAACACTGCACCTATTGGAGCATTATGATAGATGGTGAAGAGATTAAGATTGTTAACAGCTTTAGTTTGCTTGGCTCCACAATCAACGCTCTTGGTACCAACTCAAAAGACTAATTGCATTGGGAAAGTCTGCTGTCAAGTCCTCTGCAGAGTACCGAAGAGCAAGGATGTCAGTCTGGAAACTAAGGTGCACCTGATCCAGGCCATAGTCTTCACAATTGCTTATTATGCATCAGAAAGCTGGATAATGACTAGGAATTATAAAAAGATAATTGATGCCTTTGAGCTGTGGTGTTAGAGAAGAGTTTTATATACTGTGGACTGCCTGGAGAACAAACAGATTTATCCTGGAATGGGTAAAACCAGCTTGCTCCTTGGAGGCAATGATTCTGAGGCTCCATTTGACATACTCTGGGCATGTTGCAAAGAGGGACCAGTCCTTGGAGAGGGACATCATGCTGGGGAGTGTGGAGGGAGAGCATAAGGGAGGAAAACCATCAATGAGATGGATCGATTCAGTGACTGGGGTGATGGAGGTAGGTGTGTCAGAGACAGTAAGGTGGCACAGGACAGGGCAGGTTTCAGGGCTATTGTACATAGAGTCACTATGAATTGCAGGTGACTCAACAACACCGAACAACAAAATCATTAGTAGATATTTAATTCCATTTTCCTTCCCCCCCCCCTCAATTAGCTATGTATGTTTCTGTGCTAGATGTTGTAAGGGGTCACAGAAGAAGTCATTGCTCACTGCGTCTTTTCAGTTTAGTTGGCAAGTTGTTGTTAGGTGTCATCCTGTAGCATAAAAGTCATAGCAGCCTTGTGAACAATACATCAGGACCTTGCGCAGTCCTACATCATTCTTGTGATCGCTGATTCACCCGAGCCCATTGCTAGAGATACTGTGTCGTTCCACCTCTTTCCCTGATCCCCCACCTTTCCCAGCATAATGTCTTTTTCCAAGGACGGGCTCCTCCTGCCAGTGTGCCTGATAGTAGATGAGACAGTCTCACCATCCTTGCCTCTGTGGAGCACCATGGCTACACTTCTGCCAAGACAGACTTGTTTGTTCTTTTGGCAGCCCGTGGCATAGTCTGTACTATTCCCCCACACCACAACTCAAAGACATCACTTTTTCTTCTGTCATCTTTATTCGTTTTTCTATGCTCAGGTGCATAAATGAAGTAATTAAAAAGACCATGGCTTGGATCAGGTGCACCTTAATCTTTAAGCTGACATCTTTGTTCCTTAGCACTTTAGAGAGGTCCTTGATAGCAGGTTTTCACGATGCAGACAGACCAGGGGTTGACTGTAAAGCAGATCATCAATTATTCATGTGCAAGTTCAGAATTAAGTTGAAGTAGACGAAAACAAGTCCTCAAGAACCAAAATAAAATCTCAAGTCTTTTCACACCTAAACTTAAAAACCATCTCACAGTGCAACAATGAATGAATGAGAACCCAAAATCTCTGTAAATGTTCATTAAAACTAATAAAATTTTTTTAAAAAATCTCAAAAATAGTTTTCTGATGCATTGAACACTAATGACCAAAAATGACCAGATGAATTGTGGGATGGCATCAAGGATTATCCATGAAGAAAGAAGGCAAGACCAAATGGATGTCAGAAGAGGCTCTGAAAATAGTACTAGTTGGGGAGATAGCATATATATATTTATGTATATAAAATGATATGATGAATGATCAAGTATTGGCTTAGTTTTCTTCATTGCTGTTACTAGGTGATGTTGAGTCCACTATCACTCATAGTGACCCTGTGAACTGATATCCTTGATTTTTAGCACTTTGGAGAAGTCCTTGATAGCAGATTCTCCAAGTCAAAGCAGAAAGAACTGAAAAATTCAAACCTCAAGTTGTAATACTGAAGAATTCTTTGCCAAAATCTTAGTGATGCAGAAAACATAAAAAGAAGATGGAAGGAATACACAGAATCACTGTACCAAAAAAATTTGTGGAAGCTCTGGTGGCTTAGTGGCAGGAAACTGAACTGCAATCCCAGAGTCGATTGGTTCAAATTCACCAGATGCTCTGCTAGAGGAGGGAACCTGTTCCTGTACCAGTCAGATCTGATTTGACTGCACACACACAAAAACAATAAAAGAAAATTTTAAAAAAATTGCTGTCACTGAATCATTTCAGGAATTAAGGTATGATCAAGAACCAATTGTAATGAAGGAAGAAGTCCCAGCTGCCCTGATAGAATGCCGATGGAGGTGTTTCAGCAAACAGTTTGCACCCCTGCACTTGCTCACTAGCAAGGAATTTGGAAGAGTTACTAGGCCAGCTGACTAGAAGGGTCTATATTTGTTTACATTCCTAAAAAAGGTGAACTGACAGAATGTGAAAATTATCAAATAATGTTATTATCACATGCAAAGTAAAGTCTTGCTGAAAATTATTCTAAGTTGGTTGAAACATTACATTGACAAGGAAATGCAGAAATTCAAGCTAAATTCCAAAGAGGCCTTGAAATGAGGAATATCATTCCTGATGTCAGATGGATCTTGTACCCTTAAATCTGACCCTTCTTCTCAAGCAGAGCATCTGGCGGATTAGAAGCTTTGCCTTCAGTATTACAGTGCAGCTTCTCACCACTAGGCCACCAGAGCTTCTTGCAGTGCAACTTCTTGCCTCCTAGTGGCAAAAGGCACACAGTTGGAGCCCATCAGATAGGCCCTCTCCTCCCACGTGATTACTGCCTCTGAAAATCCACTCGAGGGTCAGCTATGGGTGTGTTTGGACTCTGTAGTACACAACACATGCTTTGTAAATGATCATGACTTTAAGCCCTTGCAGTTTACAGCCTCAGAAACCCAGTTAAGGGTCAGCTCTGAGTCCAGTCCTGCTAGATGTCATGGAGTTGGGGTTTGGTTTTATTTTGGTTTTTTTTTTAATTTATTTATTTATTTTATTATTTTTGTGTGTGTACGGTCAAATCTGATCTGACTGGTACAGGGGGAGATTGCCCCTCCTTCTCCAGCAGAGCATCTGGTGGATTCGAACCACATACCTCTGGGATTGCAGTGCAGCTTCTTGCCACTAGGCCACCAGAGCAGGTTACAATTCAGGTTGGAAACAATGCAGTTCTTCCATCAGGATAACTGCTCCAGTGTGCTAGCAGGCCTTTTGACCTTCAACCTCACAGCTTCAGCCCAGCTTTACATAGCTTTCTTAATTCTGCCAGTAATGGCATCTCCCTCTCTCAGGCCAGTCCTCCAGTAAGTTTGGGCAAAGGCCCCTGGTCTGCCTCCCTGGTGCAGCAATCGTAGGTTAGCTCTGCTTCACATCCATGACTGGTTGGTTCTCCACTGCTGCTTGCTGCTCTCATCTAGATCCCAGTCTGACTAGTGTAGGAAATAACTGGTCCTGAGGGAGTAATGCTACGCTCTCTTTTTTTTCTTGCTAATGGTGAGATACCATATTCTGCCACTAAATCTGCTCAATTTAAACCCGGCAGCATGATGTGATTGACCAATCCATCATAAATAGTTTAACTAAAAAGAAAACCTCATCGCCATCAAGTCAGAGTTGACTCATAGCTGACCCTCTAATGGGTTTCCAAGAGGTTATAAACCACATGGGAGAAAGTTGCCCATCTTTCTCTTTCAGACCTGCTTTTTTGAACTACCAGAGAGGTGCTGGCTTTGGTTAGCTTCACAACTCCTTATAGACTCTGCCACCAGAGCTCCCTCATAAGTAGCCTGTACATCTTAGATGTATGTTCCCACCCAGTTATTTGGTGAAAGCCAAAGATAAAGGCTAGGAAAGCCATTTTGAACTGTAAACCTATTGTACCTTATGTACATATAAGTACATATATAGAAATAACCTTTGCCAGACTTCTATATACTCAGTTTATTGCCATAATGCCACTCCACACCGTTTGGCTTACGAATCCACATATATATCTACTTAAAAATTACTGTTTGATATTACTCTTATTGCAAAGTAGTTTTGTAATAGTTCTATTGTTATGTTTAACTCTTGCCTACCTCTCAGTGATTCTTTTGTCT